TTATCTGGCAACGAAGGAAATTAAAACATCTACTCAGAAGACTTCTAAATTCTACCAGACAGTGATACACAGGAAAAAGAGACAGAGGAGAGTATATCTGTTGACTGCCAAGCACTGTGAAAGTGCTTTATATGTATTAAATAACTGCTCTGCACAACAATATGGTGAAGAAGGTGTTATCAACCTCATTGTGTGGAGGAAAAAACAAAGGCTCAGGGACATTAAGTAAGTTGCTCCCAGTCATGGGACCAGAGAGTGGCACAGCCTGGATTCAAACCCAGGAACAGGATAGGTTCCTCCCATTACATCAAGGATCACTAAACTGGAAAATCATGCTCAAACAAAATTTTGCCTTATTCTTTCCAGTCAGTAAGCTTAGATCTTCTTTGAGAGAAGGAGAGAGGTATGTCTACCAAGTGCACTTTAGTTTTAAATAGATTCCACTGATGACAGTGTGTCAGAATGTGCCCAGAATGGCAGATGACAGGACTGAACTTAACAGCTGAGATTTCCATGTTCTTGACTCAGTGCTGTTGGGCGTTGTTCATGCGCTGTATGGTTGCATGTGGTTCTTTGTAATTTAGAGTCATCAGTATTTTCATCCAAACACACCCACTTTACCTCCAACCACTACGTGAGCACAGGGTGTCTGCTCCTGCTTCTTTGAAAGGCCACAAGTTAGAACCCATGTATATTCTGGCCTCACATCGTAGAATTAGTTTCTTCTTTACCTGTCACCATCTCAATAAGAAAATAAACTTAGTAATGTAGGTCAAATTGTCAAAGAACCCACCTTTTGACTAGACAAGTAGGACGAGAAGGTATTTTTTGTTTCCAACTGCATAAGGAAATATTTTTTTATACAATTTGTATATATATAGCCCTACGTATATGAGATATATATATATAAAGATATATGTAAATATATATGCATTTTCTATACAATTGTATACATAGCCCTATATAATTTGGGGCTATGTTATGGTTCAAATGCTGCTTCTCAGAGGCATTCTTTTAACCCCACAGAACTGGAAGAGTTCTGAGGAGTTCTTTAATCAAGATCGTACCTGGGATGAGGGCCCACTTGCCGAAAAGGCAGCTTATGCTCTGTACTCAGTATCTGATTTTAGGGAAGGTGACTACATTGCAAAATTTAAATTTGTCTGAGGTTAATTAAGCTGGAGAAAATTCTTGAAGCTTTGATTACAAAGGAATGAACTGCACCCTATGTGTAGTAATTAGAAATAGCAATATAAAAGGTAAAGCTCTTTCAAACCAAGTAAATTGGTGTTTGTATAAATGCTTCCAACTACTGTCTATTCATTCACTCAGACAGGAGTAAGTATTATGAAGAAAAGTAGAGCCGAGTGAGAAGAGAGGATGACTGAGTGGGTGGTTAGGGAAGGCCCCCCTGAGGAGGGGAAATTTGAGCAGACACCTGAATGTCATAAAGGGCAGGCTATGTGGAGATCCAAGTGAAGACAGTTCCAAGCAGAAGGATTAGCCAGAGTGAGGGTCTTGAAGCAGAAACAAGCAGTGTAGATTCAGGGAAGACAGAGAAAGCCAGCGTGGCCAAGGAAGTATAAGAGACAGAGAGAACCTTAGGTGAGGGGAGAGGGGCAGGTGCGGACAGAATTGGGGGTGGTGAGAGGCAGATCATGCGGGGCTCTGAATGTCACGGTAAAGAGTTTGGATTTTATTTTAAATGTGGTGGGAAGTGGCCCAATCTGATTTATGTTTTCCAAGAGTCAGTTTGGCTGGGGTATGAAACACTGACCACAGGAGTGCAAGTGCTGAGTGCAAGGAGACCAGTTTGGAAGCTACAGGAATAGTCCAGGAGATGCTTACAGACACTGAGGTGGCAGCAGGTGGGGTGGTGATACAAGGCACAATTTGAGATGTGGTGAAGGTAGGGCTGAATGGACTTGCTGATGGATTGGTGATGATACTCGGGGTTGAGGATTTGGAGATATTGTGGTGCCACTAGTTGAGCTTGGGAGGAAATGGGGGAGTAACAAGCTTGAGGAAGAAAGTCAAGGGTTTAATTTTGGACATGTAAAGTCTGAGATACCTATTAGATAACCAGGAGAAGATACTGAGTAGCCAGCTGGATAGATGAACAAATGTATACTCAGGGGGAACCTTAGGGCTGAGGGTAAAAATTAGGAGATGGCAGCATAGAGATGGAATATAAAGCCACAGTCTCTGGTGAGATCTTCCAGGGAACATCCAGGAAGAATGTAGGCAGAAGAGGGAGGAGGGTGAGCCCTGAGTTCCAGGGCCTTCCAGCCTAGAGCTGGGAAGAGGAAGAAGAGATAGCAAAGGAGACAGAGTACGTTGCTGGTGTGTGGGGAAGAAACCCAGAAGAATATCTTTTGGAAGCCATAAAAAGAGCATGTTTTAATAAAGAGGGAAGGTGTGATTGGGAGCTGCTGAAAGGCTGAGTAAGAATACTAATTTACATAAAAAGAAAACTCTTAGAGAAATATTAAACTAAAATATAGGGGCACTGTAGTCATTTATGTGGAAAAATAGGCTTAGACAAGATTATGATTCCACAAACATTGAACAGTCTTATCATAAAATCCAATGTTTAATCTAAAAATAATGTGACAATTTTTTCATTTCATGTCTGTAAGTCAAATCATTATGCTGTGTACCTTAAAATTACATAGTGCTATATAGCAATTATATCTCAATAAAACTAGAAGAAAAAAAGAAAAATAGTGTGACACTAGAAAACAGTTCTTATGTTGACTAGAGGCTTATCATACAAATAAAGCAATTAACCCAAATGCCAACCAACAGCCTCCTTGAAAGGCTACCTATAGGTGGGAAAGATTTCTTCCTACTCTGATGAATTTTAGCTAATGCTGTGTGAGTTGTGTTGAGGCAAAATATAAAAAAAGTAGGATCCCAAACTTTCATAACCGCGCTAAGTTCTCCTTCTGTCAAAATGCCTCATCACTGATAAGTCTGTATCATTATTACAACCAAAATTCTATATCCAAGTAAATGCCTCTATGTTCCATATTGAATGTCAGCATGATCTGCATTTCTTGGCCTCTCTGCAGACATTTTGTGAACTAGTGACTTTTGTGCAGAGCATTCCCCCCTTGAATGATCTGGAACACTCAAAACTAAGGCTGGCTTTCCCTTACCACACAACATGCCCTAAATGAACTATGTCCACTTAGCTGGTACACATTCAAACAATGTGTTTAGGAAATGTAAGTCAACAGTAGTGTAAATAAAACATCATTAAAATTTAAAACAGCAGTAGGCAACACAATAATCCAAAATCCAGTCCGAGTCAAACTATTAAGTTATCCATTGCTCAAATGCCCCTCCGGCCATGTGAATAATCCATAGGTCTACCATACGCGTGACTTGATTATTTAATCAGCCTCTAAAATGGGGAGGGCTAAGCACAGAGTAGACGTTCAAACAACAGTTGAGTTGTTTTAGAATGAAGATGTGCCTTTGGAATTTTCAAGTAAGCTCTACTATTTGGGATTCAAATTCTAATTGTTTCTCATAAAAGGCTTGATCAGTACCAAAGTGGGGAGACAGTCTCAATGCATAATGATTGAGCTTACCAGTTTTTAAAAAATGCCTTAGCAACCTAAACTTATGCAATTTAATCTTCTTGTCATTGCTTTCCCTATAATATCAAAAATGATGCTTTCTTTACTATTTCAAACTCATCATAAAATTGCTAAAAATCTGAAATTCAATTTGTCACATTACTGCTGATTTGAATAATGGCTGAATAAAAGACAGGAAACGCTGAAGCAGCATTGATTTCTAAAACATTTTGCACTTTCCTCCTCCATTCCTGTAAAGTAAAGCTCGGATGCTATGCACAATTACACAAGAAAATCAAGAAAGCCATTACATTTAGCATTTTGTCATCATCATTGTTACCATGGCAAAAAGTGGGCTTAGTTTAGCACATCTGCTACGGGAGAGGTCCACTGGCCTTTTGTAAAGCTGAGTAACAATATAATGCCAAATTCTGTAGGCTGTCACTGTTTTTTTCCAGGGTAAGACTACTGTCCACAGATGCTACTGTCTCTCTCCTTAATGATTGGACCAATGTCATCTTATTATTGTATTCTTACAGTTGGCCAGTGACCAAGGAACACAGTTAATCTAGAAAGGTTACCCCTTGACCCACCTTCTGATTTAAGGGGTAAAAAATATGTGGTGTGAAAGCTTGGGACTGCAATAATAGCAAAGGCCAAAGTTTCAACAGTTGTACTGTAAATTACAATAGAGTTGTGCTAAAAGTAGCACAGATTTAGACGTGAGAAAGACAATGCATGATAACTAGTTGTACCCATAGTTACATTTTCTCTGAGTATCAGTTTAGTTGTCTGTAAAATGGGAATAAACGTAACTTTCTTGTGAGTTAACTGAGATAATCTGCAAGCCCAGACACATGGTGGGTACTCAGTAATATGGCATCCTCCCCCCTCCTCCAACACCATCCTTTTCTTAACCACTGAGATCTCCATGCCTTTGGGAATGTTGGTTGAAGTTGGTAGGTAAACTATTTTCTACCACTGGAAGGTAATTTGTTTTGATCTTTCATATCGTTTGGATACTTTCCTCAGAGAGCTGAGGATAAAATATTTTTTTAAGATCTGACAGAAAGCATAACTTCCACATCAAGAGGATAAAAGTCAGTGTCAATATCATAATATATATCACATCCTATTTTTCATATTTTAAGTGACACCAATATCATCACTGTGAAATGGAAAATGGCGTCTACACTAATTTTGACATTAGGCAGAGATTTTTCGTTTTAAAAAATGAAGCTACATTATGAAAGCAAAGAAGTTGAAATTACCTGAAACGAATACATTAATCAAGTCTCGGTATTTACTAGAAACAAAGGCTACTAGCATTTTTACCAGCTAAACAAAATATTTTTTTCTAATGAGATTTCTGCTGAGTATCGTTTATCTTAAGAGAAAAATAATGGGCCTTACCTATTCCAGTAGCTCCAGAACTGGTCATGCAGGTAGGCGTGGTGGCTACATTCATCACCAAATGAGGCTTTGCTTTCAATCCAGTGAATTATGTGCCCTTCTACAGCTAAGGGACAAAGCATTACTAATATAGAGCAAAGGGAAGGGAAAATTGAAAATTTTGAACTCTGTCTGGGTCTCTCTATGCTTCACATTCATGAACAGAGGCTTAGCCCTCACCATCATCTATGGATGTAATTATAAAACAACACATCGTACATGTTCGTAACAAGGAACATTTATGCTACAATCATATCCCTTTTATTTTCGTCATTTACAAAAGTCTCTCTCCTATTCTGAGACTGCCTGTATAAGTTGACAAGTAATGTGAAAGCAAACCAAGTGAGCCTGGCTTTTCAATAGAACCCTATGTTAAAAATTAGGTACTTAGAGAAATGACTTGAAAATGGTAACCAAAATGTCTGTAGAACACATGTTTATTTCTCAAATATACATAAAAGTTTTTAAGGCATAGGTTTCTTCTAAACCTATAATTTTCTGCTATTTTAAAATAATCCTTTGCAATTATTTCACACTTTTAGATACAAAATTATCAAGCTAATCTAGATTCTCTGGTAACATTTGCTAATAACATTAACACAATTTTGCAAAGCTATGGGAAAAACCCATCCCTTTTCTCTATAAACAAATGCATAGCAGAGTTTAAGGACTTACCGACGGGTACTTGTAAAATAAAGTCTGGTGTTTTGTCATAACCTTTTGCACGGAGCTGATCTTCATCTACAGGATGAACAAATACTATTACTTATCACAGTATTCCATTAACAAGACAGCAATATAATTGCTTTTCTTCCTTAAAAATGTGTAAAAATTACTAATGCAGTCATACATATCATTCTTATATATGCAATGCTGTGTAGGAATAAATGAACTTTTATAACAAACTGGAAGCATAGATATAAAAATGCCTCTTTGTCCCTTCTGCATTTTTATGTCTTTATTATAAACATCATTAATTCAAGCTGTCATACACTACCTTTCTTATAATTGAAGATACTCAAAATAATGAAGTATACGTACTGATTAAAAGAAAAGGCTTCTACCACCATGAATATCACTAATGTTATCAAGCCAATATTGACATTGGCCTTTATAAAACAAATGCTTTCATTAAAGCAATTAAGAAAGTTTAGTTTCAATTAGTGAAACTATTCCTACATACAAGAACATAAGAAAGAGACAAGGACAGTGAGATCCCCACAGAGAATTAATTACCCTGCTTAATACCTTTGGTCGGCTATTGTTTCTGGCATTTACCAAAGTTTTACAACTAACAATATGTAATTCTGAAAAGCAAACAGGCTTTGAGATTTTTTTCTAAGTCTGTTCGATTTCTTGATCCTCTGTAAATATCAATGAGCCATTCAGGAGGAAAGGAGGCAGGAAAACAGAGTGCTTGACAAAGTTGGAAAAAACTACCTAGGTGCTTGGTTAAAAAAAAAAAAGTCCTCCAATATTTTCTAAACGCTGTCCTTGACTTCTAAAGGCATTACAATGTGATTCTGAAATGAGCAGTTCTCTGTTAGATTTTGGAGTGACCTGGTCATTCAATTCCAGACATGGCTTTCTGTCTTCACCCAACCTCAACTAATGGCCCAACCAAGTAACAAGGAAGGCTGTGTGGTCTCTTAACACCTACTGGGCTGTTGACATTGTCATGCATCCCATTCGCCTTCCTGCATCACCTTTGATTAAAATTAATGGCCCATTCTCAGTTGTTGGGTAGCTTATTTCCAATCCATTTGTCAGGCCAAGACAGTGGTTTCATGGCCAATGTTCAGAAACTCTGTTTTAGAACACTCCTGTGTACATCCTGAAAGGTCAGCATTTTAAACGTAAATAACCTTTAAATGACAAGACACATATTTATACTAGATATTTAAATTAAATTTGGTTACAGTTGTTATCCTTTATCCAAATTTTGAAGGACTGATGCTAGAATTTGAAACAATCTCCCCTGCTTGAAATATAAAAAATTCTAAGTTAACTGTTGAAATAAGGAAATAAAATTAATCTTACTTTAAAAACAAGAGAATTTGGAAAACTGAGCTGTGGATGAACAAGACTGAAAAAATTTCTATCCTCTAAATGCATTCTGGCTACAAGAATGTTTAATGGAAAAGGCATTTATTAAATCAACCCAACTGCCTTGAGCTGATGTTTCAGGTAGCTGATGAACAGTTTTAAAAGCTGGGTTGACATTAAAAAAGAGAGATTAATATTTTATTAAAACTATCCTAGCTTGATCAACCTTTGCAGATGTTCAAATCTGTTTCAGAAAGAAAAATGATTATGTTTCCGACAGCAGCGCAAAACAAAATTTCAAAGGTCACCAAGCAATCCAAACGCACACACTAAAATCCCTTAAAAGGCAGATGCTACACTCTTGTTCACTGTGCCAAAATTACTACCACAATACCTACAATTTAAATTTCCTGAAGATAAACATCAGGTGAGGCTAGGAAATCTTTCCATCTTTCTGTGGAGAACCTCAAAGTACAAGAGTATTCATATGCTTTCTCCATGCCACCCCCCCACCTCCCTCCCTCTCAATATGAAGTTGATTCAATAGTAACTGTACTCAAAAGACAGCTTCTAGGAGTCTGTGTCACCACCAGATATTACGCTTTTTTTTTTTTTTTTTTAAAGAGGTTATTCCACGTATTGGAAGTACTATGCTATTATGTATTGGGTATCTTCTCTGTTTATTTTCTAAACTCTGACTGCCTTACCTGCCTTCTTTCGATCTTCACACTATCTCTCAACCTAGATTTCCTAACAAAGGAGGAGGGTACAACTTGGCAAAGTTCAGAGAAGATGAGAGTGCAAGTATAGGAAGTAGCATTTATGAACAGGTGGCCTTGCTCACCTGGTCTAGGTCCCAGGAGAAGGAAGTTTCTATCATGGATTATCCTACTGGGAGATTTTTAAGGTCAGCCCCATCCATCTGACCTGATTTCCTGGCCTTTGCATTATGCTCCTTTCCTGGCTCCCAGACCTTCAAAGATTTCTTACCATTAGATCATTATCCAAACCATTGGGTATGGATTTAAAATTTGGTTGACCATTGGGTGGGTTAGGGTTCCAACTCTAGGATCTCGAGGTTATGGCTGGGTCATCATCCCACATGACTTCCCTTCTGCCTCCTTCTTTGTTCATTCCCTTGTCTCATTGTGCATGTGCCCGTCTCCCAAATCCCGGGCCTATTCACTGCCCCATTCTCACCACCAACATACGCTTAGCACATATTTAAGACTCAGAAGGGTAACTGAATAAAATATAAATGCATTTTTAAGAATACCCATGTCTTCTGCAAAGCCCACCTGGACTGACTTAATAATTTTCTTTCCTGATTTAAGAGACAACAAAAGTGACCTAAAGTTCAAGGTTGTATTTGATGACTTTCACTGCTATCTTTCACCCCTGGCCCCAGCTGTCTGCTCTGAGGTACCTCTTGATCATCAAGGAAGGGACTACACATGGGAAGTTTTCCTACCTTCTTCTTTGGTCTGTAGTATTTTAAATAACATTGGATTTATCCATTCCTTAAAGTTTGGGCAGAATTCCCCAAAATAAGCAATCTAGGCCTGCTGCTACTATAGTGAGTAGCTCTTTGGTTACTTTTCCCTTTTTTTTTTATAGCTACTGATCTGTTTAGATTTTCATCTCTTATAGAGTCAGTTTTGCAATTTATATTTTCCTTGGGAATCATAAGTTTCATCCATGTTTTTAGAGCTCTTTGTACATATTGGAACCAAGTGGTTACTTATGATTCTTTGAACTTCCCAAGTGGAAAACTGGATGTTTAAGTAAACTGCTGTTTTCTTCAAGAAAAAATGATCAGGATTAAGAAACAAGAAAGAATAACATTAGTTAGAAAGGGGGAAAAAAAGAGTAACAGCAATGTTTTAGAATAGTACTTTTAGTATAACTTCCCAGAATTGCTGGGGATCAATATGAAATCAATCTCCAAATTCTATATACCTAACTTATTCAGTGAATGTAGCAAATATGAAGTAGGGCTCTTCTGACTTAAGGTATATTAAAAACACCTAATATATTTCATAAGTACAAGCTTGTTAATGTCATTGCTCAAGTGTTCATTATCAAAGTTAATATAAGAATATTCTCACTTAAGAGCAGACTTGTTAGCCTCTAGATCCACAAAATGTAGGTTATTTAGATAGTGTGCCTTAAGAAACACAGTATTTCTAAGCTTGTAAAGTCTTCCAACCTTCCAGTTTATACAAGATAAAAGAGGCCAAGAGAAGTTAAGTGACTGCCAACACCTGGGCCTCTCAAATAGCCAGATATAGACAAGAGCCCACCACAACCAAGTACTGGTTTGTCCCAACAGACCATATACCACTCTTAATTATGACAAATATTTAAATTTGATCATGTGTAATACCTTATGAAGTGGGGAAGATTTTCTCATTTTCCTCCTGAAAGATTTGGAAACGCGAGAGAGGCGATGGCTATCTGTTGGATAGTATTTGGTTGACACCTGACCGAAGAGGAGATGAACGAAATAATCACTTGATCTCTAGCATTTTAATGATCCTTTCTTCAATGGAACTAAAAAACCAATGAAACTGCATCTATAGATAAAACTGATGTTACATTTTAAAAGACAATCCAGATCTTCATTTGTTTTTAAGTTGTCAGGCTTGCCTTTAGAGGACACTTTTAAAAAGGAATCACATATGTAAAGAACACTGTGAAAGTTTAATTTCTGGGGCCTTTTAATTACCCTCTCCTCTAAATGCCCAAAATATCCAAAGCAATTAAGTACTGATAACACAATTTCTTTTTTTAAAATAAAGGCGCGATTTTGAGTCAGAGAACAAAACACATCTGAAACTAGTTAACATATACTTAAGAATCAGCCCGGCATGAGGACTGCCAAGAAGAAGTTTGAGGTTTTCTTTTTTTTTCTTAAAAGACTTTAAATTTAAGAAATACAGTTATTTCCCAGAGAAATTATGCAAAATTCCAGTTCATAACATCTGAAAATGAAAAGAAAAATAATATTCTGACATGGTCTTTTATCTATGAATTTGTCAAAACGTTTCTAAAATGCTAGGTTAAAATACCTCATACAAAAAGAAACTTTTTAACACCTGTTACATTTTTACTAAATTGGGGAAGGGCAAAAAATACACATCAATACAAGTGAAAACTACAGTATATCTTTTCTACTCCAGTATCTTGTTTTTCTGGTTTTTTTCCCCCAAAACACTGTCTCATTCAATAATTGGTGCTATGACCTTTGCATCCCATATTTTTATATTCTCTAAGAGTAAGTTTCACAGCCTTTCCAATTTAAGAAGTTAGCAGGGTTTTGGTAATAGATGTTACTATGCTATGCAAACCATCGCAAAGGTACACCGAACAGATATGCATTTAATGGGGAGAGCGATAACACACATGAATGAAATCTTCAGAGAACCTAAAAATTTCATTACAGCCATTAGTTTTAACCTCTTCCCCCAAAGCCTATTATCAAAGCCACTAATAAGGAATACAACTGACTGCTCTGACCTTGTCCTTTGCTTATGTCTTTAGGGGACAATACTTGTGAAAATTGAAGTGCCCTAAAGATAGGAAACAAATGGGAGGTCACAAGCCAGGACAGAGCAAAGTGAGGCAGGGTAGGCTGGCCCCTGCTGACTGGTGGCTGTGGAGACAGAGGATATGAACATGGACAACAAAAGCAA